TTCCAATCAAAAATAATGCAAAAATAAGTGAGGATGGTTTTTCAGACACGATAGTTTTTTAAAAAAGTGATATCTTTCTTCAGAATTTGGTAACTTTCGGGAGCCTGAAAAAAAATTCAGCCGTTAGAAGGCCGAATCGTAATCTTAAAACAAGTAGTTGGTCTAAAAAAAAGCAAAATGTGAAGCGGCCGTTCTCAGGAAATTTAATTACGAAGGGTGGGATAAGTTCGTTAAAACGATTTGCGGCTGTTGGTAGGCCAAACTGAAATTTCTAAACAAATGGATTATATGAGAAGCATAAAAAAATGTGGAACGGCCAGTGTCAATTGAAGTGATGTATGTGTTTCAGAGGAGCAAGATGAGATTTGGCCTGGTTTCAATCTGACACTACCGACATTTCCGGACAATTTATGGGATCATGATTACGATTTTACACGAATGGGCACAGGAAGTGTTTGGCAATCACCGCAAACCTCGGCCAGCAACTGGCCACCTCGATCACCAACGAACACCACAACTTTCATGCAATCGCAGCACCAATCTCCTCCGGGCAGTGCTCATAGCTATCTGGCGGAATCAGTTCGTGCATTCAGACTCAATCCCGAAGCTCCACCATTTGTGATCGAAAATCCAACAGCAACAGTGCAAGCACAACGGCCAACACAATTGATGACAGGTTAATTTCCTGGAATTTTATCGTTTTTTTTTCAATAGTAAAAACGAAAGTTTCAGTAGTCTGTAACAGGAAATCTATGATTCGGGACTGATTTTTCAGCAAAAATGGACCCTTTATAACTTACTGATTAGTTTTTTTTTGCTTTTTTTTTTGAACTATTTTGGGGCAAAATCTGGCCGAACAGTAAATTTCAAGGAAAAAATATTTCTACTTGGCTGTCAAGTTTTATTTCGTACTTCCATTACCAGTTTATTCATGTTTTATTTATTTATTGTTTTATAATTTTAGCATTTTTCCAATTGCTGCACTAAATTGTTGCTGGGTACCATAGGAATGATCACATAACTAGTACAGTTGGTTTTTGAACTGTTTTAATTTTTATTATGAGGAAATGAGGTAACATGAGGTAAATGAATAACTCAGCTTTTAGTGCTGGGCATTGGGAATGGTGAAAATGAGTAGTTCGATTCCCTCCTGGTCCATAGTCATTTCCAATAAAAAAAAGAAGCTCCGTTCATGGCATGGTGCAACGAGAGAGGAATAAAACTGATTATCTAAAAAATTTGTTCCCACCTCGTATGACTAGAAGCGTTATGATTGAACCTTTTGTTCAAAACTTTTTGTCCTCTTTTTGGTATAAATTTCATTTTTTTCAGAACATTTTCCACCGCTCCAGCATTCGCAGCAGCAGCACTACTCGACGTTAAACCCGGTGTTTTCTCAGTCGGAACTGGATCATTTGCACGGAACATTGCACCACAACACATACATCGATGATCCGTTGGGCTTATCCGGAAGTCTGTTTGGAAGACGTGGTGCAGCAAATATCTGGGCCAGTGATCTGCAACCAACATCCTCCTCATCAACAAATAATAATAACAACAATAATAATACCAGTAATAATAGTGCCGAACCAAGTTCTGCTGCTGTTTACTGGGCCGAAAAATTCTTGGCCGATGAAGATAACGATATGAAATAAAAGTTAAAAAGAGATTTGCGACTTGAAATAACAAAGCAATGGATTAAATCTGCAAAAAAAGCATTTTTGTTTTTGTTTTTAAACAAACACTAAACAGGCATACTTGGCATATTCTGTCTCATATTACAGTGCGGTAAATTAGGGTTACTTGGTGGGATTATCGCGAAATTCATCTGCAGGTGTCACTTGAACTACCCAAATCTGCAGTCTGGAATTTTTGCACAATAACACTTCGCAATAACACTTATGAGGAAATTAGATGTTATTGTGAATCATCCACGTGGATTTAGCCATGCCAGGTTTTATGTCCTGAGTTGCTTGCCTTTTTGTGGATTAAGTGTGAGTTAACCGAGTGGCCAGGAGTTTAGGGCTTTAGGAATTTTGAGGGCGAGAATTAAGTTACCGAGGAGAGAAATGGGAAAGGAAAGATCGAGGCTGGGTGAAAATGAATGCAAATTTCATTGGCCTTGCCAAATACCACAGGTGTTGGTGATAAAGAGAATAGTGTATTTCGTTTTTGTGAGTTTAGTTCCTTTTGACGAGATTCTTCAAATCCTTCGAATTCCTTTACGATCACAAAATGATGATTTAATCATCGCCCAAACCGGAGTGAAAATAGTATCAAGCTTTCCCCCTGAGACTACATCTCGTGCTTGTGTGGAGGTAGTTGGTTGTGATCAGATTCCAGATCACAGAATGGCTTGATGTTATTTTTAACAATTATTTTCTGTGGAGTTATCTATAGACCACTTGAGCCTAAAAGGTAAACATGAAAAATACCTGTACTTTGATCAGCTTTAGTTTCATCATAGCATTTCTCATCACCGGTGCAGCTGGCAGCTCCTTCATTCGTCTTTTTTTCGGAGTTCTCTTCATAAAAGCGTTCAGGTAGACCTCTCCAGTTCGTCAACGGTCTTCAATATATTTTCTCAACATTGCCTGAATCTCATCTAGTAATGAAAAATACTTCATATTTTGCAAAAATACAGATTTTTAAGTATCACACCCAGGTACCATTTAAGAACAGTCGGTGGCAGATGCGTTTTGAAACATTTATATCTGATATATTTAATGTGAGATTTCAAGTTATGACACACAACCGCATGTTAAAATCATAATCAATCCATTTTTTCGTTTCGATGGTAAATTGATATTGACATATGCCAGAGAATCAAATTCAGCCATCAGCTTGCTTGAAAGCAATCATCGAAGAAAGGAGCGAGTCATCGACAGTGTTACCAGCGAGTGGTTGCCGTTGGCATTCGGGTTGCTTCCTGGGTGCATCCACTTTTCATAGACAGCAAATACGGGGGAGTTTTGATTTTTGACTTGATTTGGAGATTGCAACT